CTTAATAATTCGAACAGGGTTTGGGGTATATTATACTATAATTATAACAAGGAACCCCCAAAACCCTATTCTAATTATTAAGGCCCCTACATTACCCCTAAAACTCCATACCCTAAACCCTAAACCCCCAAACCCCTAAACCCCATACCCTAAGCCCTAAACCCCGGAGGGTTTTAGGCGTTTAGGGGAACCCTGACCCCCCCAAAAGCCCTAAAGGGAACCTAAGGCCCGAAACCCGTTAGAAGCCCCAAGTTTGGGGGTTTCAGGGGTTTCAGGGGTTTTAGGCGTGTTGGGGGGTTTAGGGGTTTAGGGGGTTTTAGGGGTTTTAGGGGTTTTTGGTGTTTTAGGGGTTTTTGGGGTTTTAGGCGTTTTAGGGGTTTTGGTTTTGTTTTGGGGTTTTGGGGGGTTTTGGTGGTTTCAGGGGTTTTAGGGGTTTTGCGGGTTTTAGGGGTTTTAGGCGTTTTGGTGGGTTTAGGGGTTTTGGGGGTTTTAGGGGTTTTAGGGGTTTTGGGGGTTTTAGGGGTTTTAGGCGTTTTGGGGGTTTTAGGGGTTTTGGGGGATTTAGGGTTTTAGGGGTTTTATTTTAGGGGCTTTAGGGGTTTAGGGTTTAAGCGGGCCTTAGAGTTTATGGATTTAGGGGTGCAGAATCCACCTCGCGCGTTTGAATCCAGCGCTTACCTGGACCTTCAAGAACCTACCTTTTTAGGGCTCCTTAGCATGGTTTCTTTATATAGGAACCTACCTTTTTGCAGTTCCTTATTATGGTTTCTTTACTATAAGTCCTTAAAAGGGTAGGTCATTTGGGGTTAAGGTAAGCCTTGACTCCCCTGAAGCTAGAACTCGAAACCGTGTTGAACCCGCGACCCAAACCTGAAACCCTGGATGGGTAGTCCTCTAAATCAGGGTCTCTTGTAGGGTCCTTTTATAAGGGTTCCCTGCTATTTTGGTGACCTAAAATGGGACCCCAATTTCGAAAACCGTCTTGTTGAACACCACGCCAAGGAACCCTGTGCCCTGTCACGGTTTACCTGGCTTTCCGGGGGACGTTGGACATATACATTTTGTACAAATACACAAGTTCACACCCTTAGGGACACAGACACTTAAACCTGCACATGGGTAGTTCTCTAAATTAGGGTCCCTAAACCCTAAACCCTAAACCCTAGTCAAGTCTAGGGTCCTTTATCTAAGGGTGCCGCCCCCTTTCGCTGACATACACAGGTATCATGCCTACGCTCCCTGAAACGTACCGACCAACACTCGGGAACCTGCCCCGTTTTGTGGCAGGCTAGGATGTGCTGTCTACTGAAGGCGAGTCTCAGTTCAGGTAGGTCTCCTGCTGTGCCGTTGTCAGCTCTGGGAATTGACACCCAGCATGGCCATGCCGAACGGTCTCTTCGACATGGACCTCGACGCGGAGGAGAAGCATGTCTTTGGGGACCGATTTGTGCACCTTCCTCTCTCCTGAGGCTGCTTCCATTCATGTTAAGAAGCTTCAGGAATTTAGGCAAGAGAGTTAAAAGTTAAGAGCTTTGTGGCTCTAGGGTTTTAGAGCTTTAGGGTTTACGGATTCAGTGAATTAGGGCTTTGGGATTTAGGGATCAGGGTCGAGGGGTTTACCATGTAACACTTTGTTTAGGAGTGTCTCCCTGCCAGACATTGCCAGACAATTACCGGCATCGGCTTTCCCACGTACGAGGCCACGGAGTATCTGGCAAAGCACAAGGAACTGAATGGTTTAGGCATCATGTTCAGGCTGGTCAAGATATGGTTGGGTGGTTGTCATGGATTTAGGACGGGTCTTTTCGCATCTTCTGTCCCAGGTATGGCCACTCCGTGCAGAGCGTGCTCGCGAACCGCACCTGGCCGCAATACTTCCACAGAAGCGACAGGTGCCACTGTGCTGGGGTTTGGGTAGATGATGTGGATCCGACTGAGTTTTGCAGATCTATGTCAGGGCCTCAGTCAGCCATACGTGACTCATAAGGCCCCTTTTAAGAGAGCCATAAGTAGGGTTTAGAAGGGTCCCCTTTTAAGGGGTCTCAAGCTACATGTGCCGTCTCCAGCCCTTGGCCAGATACCCCGCCATAAAAAAGCTAGCCTCACTCATCTGCAGCCTTTGAGAAACCCCAGCAGGCCCAAGGCCGAAAAAGCTGAGCCGGGATTTTGGACCCTTGCCCTCTCGGCCCTTGTATCTACCGTAAGAGCGAGGATATGGTTAGACAGATAAGCAGCACTTACAACTCACAACCGTAGTGAAACATGGCAATAATTCCGACCAGGAAAAACAAACTATACATCACTGTGTTACATCCTAATGGACCAGAATAGGAACCGTAGCGCACATTTCAGAAGTGTCCATAATGCCGACAGTAATGAACAGCGTATAAGCGGCAAACCAGTTGATGTGGGTGATCATGTCAATGTGAAAGAAAATTTCTGGGCACCGATGATTCGTCACAGGCCAGAAAGACGAGCTCCAGTAAAGGCCAAGCACCAGAGCCCGTGGCAGAGGACAGATTCAATTCCTGGCTAGCGGCTGTATCGTGTCGGGAACAAGTTTTGGGTTCGTTGGGCTTGCCTTTGCTGCCTTCATTTTCGATGTTTCAGTTTCCATTTGAGACAGGTTTATTTATTTAAGCTCTGAGCACTCCGCCGAGACATGTAGATCTGTTGCCGCTGCCTAGGCAAGGGCTCACTGAGGCTCACAGTGTGAGTCGGCGGGCACCGTGTCAGAAAACAACAGCCAAGGTGATATTCTGTCAACACATGAAGCCAGTTCTAAATTTTCTATCCCCAACACTATGAGTGCCATGTGATCTTTGGTGTTCAACCTCACTGACGAATTGACTTCCACTCGCTGCAAGGACTCCCAAACGTTGCAAACCGCTCTCGCTGCGCTGCGCGAGGCAAGGTTGCAACAGAGCTGTGCATGCGACGGGCTGAGAGCCTGCAGGCTGCTACTACAAAAACAAGTAATTACTAAGTACTGCTACTGGTTAATGTAATTTTGGTTTTTAGTTTTCATCCTCTTCATTATAATTACATATATATATATATATATTTATGCTTTTGATTGTTACTACTGCTGCTACGAGGAAAACGATGGCCACGACCACCACCACCAGTGACGACGAAGACGACGGCTGTTGAGTGGTTTCTGATTAGTGTGGGGGGGTCCTAACGAAGTCTGAGTAGTGTGGGGGGGGGGGGGTCCTAACGAAGTTAAAAGTTTGGGAAACTTGTATTCGGCTCCCTAAGTTTGGTTTTGGGGGAACCTCAGAGTGACAAGTGTTCCCGGCCTGGCTTCTTTGGCCCAGCTAGCCAAAACAGCGCAGAGTTCTCTCCGGCTTTAACTATTGTTTTTTTACAGGTGCTACTACTATTACCCTTGCTAGCACTATCACACTTCATACTAATGCTACTTAACACAATACTCTTCCCCAGACTTTTCCGGAGCCCGCCCCTGGGAGCAGTACTATTCAGTCACTGCTTTTTGTTTGGGGTGCGCCCACACTAACCAGAACCCCACATTACTGCTGCCAGCAACCACGGCCATGACGGATTCACTACGATCTTTCGGTTTGCAGGCGATGTGTGGGCCACCACCTGCCGAAAATCGGAGGTCTTCTAGTGGCAGGCGTGGTCTGCATCCCAATCCGCTCCTGTCCGAACCGCCTCAAAGCCTCCCCAGCTCTGGTTAAGAGCCTCCCTAGCCTTGGCCTTAGAATCGAGATCCTTGGTGTTTGCAAGGGCTCTATCAGAGGCGAAACTGAAACTCTAAGCTAGCAGGTGCCGGCATCGCGATTGGTGGTTTGGACCAAATAACGTTAAGCTTCTTCGGCGTCAGCCCGGCACGTAGCGACAGCAGAAGCGACAGAAGTAGTAGCCGTCCAGTAGTGGTAATGGTATTGTAGGAGGCGGAGGAAGAGAAGCGGCGGAGAAGCAGCAGTATCAGTTTGCATCAGTCAAAACTCTTGTTAGAATTGAAGGGGCTGCGAATCAAGACCTGCCGGTCCATAAACACAACCCCGAAGCCTGAAATCGGACGACCCTAAATTACTAAACCCATAAACCCCTAAACCCCTAACCCCCAAACCCCTAAAACCCCTAAACACCCCTAAACTCCCAAATCCCTCAACCCTACGCCTTGGGCAGGAACCGGCGGGGCAGCACCAAGACCGCCAAAACCGACAGCAGGCGGACTCAGCCTTCATGGGCTCGTGGTTCAGGGTTTAGAGTTTAGGGCTTTAGGGCTTAGGATTTAGGGGTTTAGGGGTTTAGGATTTAGGGCCATTTAGGGGTGTAGGGTTTAGGGGTTTAGGGTTTATAGTTTAACAAATATGTTCCGAGCAGACCACCACGCGGGACATGTTGTGTGGTGTGCGCCCAGGTTCACGCTCTTTCCCAATCCACCCACCCTCGTCTCAACCTTGGTCGGGTTTAGGGTTTTCTACACCCCCCAAACCCCCCTAATTCTCAAGGCGGGCGAACTTGGTTTGGTCTCTCTTTGTGCGTTGCAGGTCAAAAGCTCGTCGCCTACCGGGAGCTGTGGGGGTTCGTTTGGGGAGCTCGTTTGCCTTTTCGGGGGAGCTCTGTGCCGGCAGCTGTGGGTCCGTAGCTCTGGTTGGCCACGTGCAGAGAAGGACGTCCGTTTGGCTCTTTTGGGGGAGCTCTGCTAAGGAGCTGTGGGGGTCTGGGCTGTGGTGCCGGGTACATTGGCTCTGGTTGGCACTTCATGGTGAAGGGCAACGAAGCATACCGGCTCTGGACAGAAGGGAGCTGTCGGGAATCGGTTTGGTTTTTATCCGGAGCTTCAGCGGTTCTGGTTGGGAGCTGTGGGGGTCCGTAGCTCTGTCTGGCCTTGATATGAGAAGGATGCCGAGTTGCGGGGGGGTCCGTTTGGACGGGGAAGGCTGCGGGAGCTGTGGGAGTCCGTTCGGCTGTTCTGGGGAGCTTTAGTTGGCTTGTCACAGACACGGACGACGAAGCAAGCATAGGGTTCTGGACACATGTTCGGCTCTTCTGAGCAGAGAAGGGAGCTGGGCGCTCCTCTGCAACGGATTTTGTACCAGAAATCGGCCAATCCTGACAAAAAGCGGTGTTTTATGCTACACACACAAGAGCAGAAATTTCCCATCAGAGCGCCCAGGGGGCAGCGAACCCTCCCAAAACAAGGGCCGTGCCGAGTTGTGGGGGTCCGCTTGGCTCTTCTGGGAAGCTCTGATTCCGCCAGAGCACCCATGGCAGCAGCAAATCCAAAGCCCAAGACCCGCAGCCCAGAATCCAAAACCCAAAACCCAAAGCCAAAATTCCTAACCGATGCTTCGCGCATTTTTTTAAACCAAAGGTTCAGGGTAATTCTGTTTGGAGCCAGACTGACGATGGCACGTGGGTTCAACCCGTAAGTGCGTGGGCCGCGCTCATCGCGCGCACCGGCCCCAAGCCCTCGCTAATGGCTCGAGGCCTGACGCCACGCGGTATCGCTCGGAAAGTGCAGGGGCTTTTGAAGCCCCTTGACCCCGATGGCGCAAGTCCGGCCGGTGCGCCGGCCCGTGTTCGACGTTTAGTTGGAAAACCCGGCTGTCCTTGAAGGCCTGAACCCTGCAAGGAATTGGTTTGAGTGGTTCGGCAGCCTTAGACGTTGTGGGGTAGGTCCGGCAGGTATAGTTGTGGGACGGCCCTCCGCGTTCGAGCCATTGATGCAGGTCGAAGTCACCGAGTGCTCGACATATCTACATTGCATATCTTTCACTGCTGCAGCGCAATATCACAGCAAACCCAAAGGCCTTAAAGCTTAAAACCCTGAACCCTAAACCCTAAACCCTACCTTAAGCCGTTCCAGGCGAAAGAGTCAGGCCAGCAGTGGGCTCGCTTCCGCCACGGAGGAGCCGATCTGCTAACCCGAAACTATACCTGGACCCTTAAGAACCTCTGTTTAGGGTTCCTTATTATGATTTCCGTATATATTATATAAGTCCTTCAAAAGGTAGGTTCTTTGGGGTCTAGGTAAAACCTATAAACCCTAAACTTCCAAACCTCTGAGTCTCCAAGGCCTCGAACCTTAAACCCTAAACAAGCCTGTGTCGGAGCTCTGAAACCCTATGACTCTAAACCCAACCCCACTGCCCCCAATCTGGGCAATCCTGGGCTTGAGCGCTTTGGGGTTGAGGGTTTAGGACTTGGGGGTTTACGGTTGTTTCTTATTTTTTGTTGACGAAGGATCGAAGAGGCCTGTAGTTTAGCGGCGTGTAAGTTGGATGTAGTACGCGTGCATGCCATGCATACAAGCAGACGCACATAGTACATGCGTATGTACACGCAAAATACATGCATGCATGCGTGCGCGGTGCATGCATGCATGCATGCATGCATGCATGCATGCATCTTCCATGTACATGTACATATAAGTGTACTCGGACGTGCATTCGTATTTGACTGTGTATGTGTATGTATGTACTTTTATGTACATACATATGCGCTTGCATGTGTATATGTGTCTGCACATGCATGTGCGAGCCGTGTATGTGTATGTATGTGTGTAAATCGTCTGTATGTTTCACCACAAGCTGCAAAGCAAATATCATGGACAACTCCGAGTGGCTACGAGTTGTGTAGCCTGCCTGGACCCTAAAGAACCTACCTTTTTCTTGTTCCTTGTTATGAGTTCTTTATATCATATAAGTCCTTAAACTGGTAGGCAATTTGGGGTTAAGGTTGGTTGAATGCATGCTCCTAGCATACTGAAGAAGGCCGGAGGGCCTGTGTACAGGGCGGTGTTTGGTGCTAGCCATAAAGGTCTAGGCTGAGTCCTGTGGGGTTGAAGCCTGTTTCAGCCCTCGATTACCCCGACTCCCCAAGAGCGCACATATTGGGCAAAAATACTGAACATTTTCGGGAAAAAATATTGGGGCAAAATATGTTTAGTGCTTATCCCGACTCCTCAGGAGGAAGAGGAAGATTCACTGTCCCGGCCTCATCAGGGTCTTGGACTGTCATTGATGGTTAGAGGCTTTCGAACTCGTGGTGGTTTAGGCTCCACCCTCAAACCCTAAACTGGCCCTGACCCCCTAAACCCCAAACCCTAAATGCTAAACCCTAAACCCTGAACCCCAAGGTAATTGTGCTTATGGCTTTTTGGGATTTTTTTGGCCATAGGCGTTTAGGAACTGTTGGTTTAAGGCTGTAGGTCAATGCTTAAAGTGCCTAAAGTGGGTCATGCATATGGAATCTGTACCCCAGATTAGGGACATGTACGTTAGACCTAGACCCCTATGTCCCATCTATTCGAATCGAAATACCGACTACCAGCCAGAAGCCACCCTGTTTGCGTGCACAGGGAGGTCCAGGTGAGGTCACAGGTATGGTACTAGATCGTAAGGACATTTACACCCTAAACCCTCGAACCCAAGCATCACAGATTATAGCTAAATCGTATGAGATCCATGTATGCCCGAAACCCTAAACCCTAAACATCAATTATACCAGATGATAAGTAAATCGCATTGCATGACTCCATACCCTGAACGGTAAACATTGAATATAACTATATAATCCTCGACGCAGTGACCGAACAGCCGCAGACCCTTCTGCACAATGGTTTCAGGCTTGGGGTTTAGGGTTTAGGGTTTGGGATTTAGGGTTTGGGGCTTAGGGTTGAGGGCCTCGGGTTTAGGGTTTATATGTTATATACTTCATTGTTATATTTATAATTACTAGGATCCCTAATATGATTTAAGGTACATTCCTTAATCAGGGGGTTTTGGAGTTCAGGGTTCAGGTTTAAGGATTTGACTGCACCGTTTCTTACTGCGGAGGAAGCTCTCTGAGGGGAAAGAGGGAGGATTTGACCACTTCGGTCGGAGCTTAGGGATTAGGGTTTAGTTGGACTATGAATGAAGTGTTATCCTAATCCATTCCTTCACTCTCTTTACCTACAGTTTAGCTGCCATGACCCCTGAATTAGTAGTTAGAACCCGTAAGACTGTAGGTAATGAGAGTCCCAGGTTGAAGCCCTAAGCCCTAATCCATGGCACATCTTTTGCTATGCAGAAGCCAAGACCTTCCAATAACCCGTAAAACAAAGGAACATACTTCAAATCAAAATTAGGGATCCTAGTAAACTTAAGCCGTAAAAAGCAAAACCTAAACCCCTAAACCCCTAAACCCTAAACCCTATGTTCGTTAATTAAGGGGACTCCTGAAAGATATGGGACTACTTGGAGGTTCATGGGTAGTTATAAGTGGGGTTATAAGTAGGGTAACTATAGTTATAACCCAAATTAGGGGACTTATAACCCACTTATAACTACCCCTACTAAACCCTAAACCCTAAAATGCCTACAGACCCAAAAAACAACCCCATAACTCCACTTATAACTACCCATGAACCTTCAAGTACGCCTCCTGAACTTTCTCGCCAGGCCCGAAGAGCTTGGGCACACGCTGCTCTTTTGGAAGGCCTAGCGGGTTTACGGTTTAGGGGTATAGGGTTTAGGGGTTTAGGCGTTTAGGGTTTTTAGTGGTTTAGGGTCTTAGGGTTTTTAGGGTTCAGGGTGACTGACTCGCGGTGCTAGGCTTCCGAGTTGAAGGTTTCGGGATAGGAAGGTCTGAGGATCCATGCGCCCGAATAGTATATGCTTATATACCCTCTGCCCCTAAAGTACCTGTATAGGGACTACTTTATGGGGGTTTCCGAAAATAGGGGACCCTAATATAGTACCTTAAATAGTAGGATCCTTATTGTAAGGAACCCAAAATAAGGTACCCTAATTTTCGGAAAGTCCCATGTCGGGACAACTTCATTAAGGCCAAAGTATATACTACTTGGGCACATGGAGACTTAGGGAAGGTCTCCGGCTCACGGTTTCAGTCGCCCGATAGACCCCTAAGCCAAGTGGGAGTTTCCGAAAACAAGGGGTACCTTATTCTGGGGTCCATAAGGATCCTACTATTAAGGGTACTGCTATTAAGGGTACTTCTGCTACTAAGGGTACTAGAAGGGTACTACTATTAAGGATCCTACTATTAAGGGTACTATATTAGGGCCCCTCTTTTCGGAAACCCCCAAGTCTACCGTCGATACTCCGCAACATTCCTCTCCAAGCGGACCTCCCGAAGATCCATCAGAGACCCCGACGACACCGCAGAGACCTGAGACCTCTAAACTTCGAACACCAGCAAACTCTAGAGTGAAGACTTTAAGCTTCCTGGGAAGCAAGATAGCCGCTCAGATAGTCTTTTGAAAAGTAGAATTGTTGTTTATGTGTACTGTTGAAATGTTGCTTCTATTTTTGTTTAAGTGTTTACAGTGCTTAGTGTTCTTAGGGATCTTGTTCACAACACTACCTTGACAATGACGATCATGATGACGATCATGATGACGAGGACCATCAGCACCATCATCATGGTAGTATTCCTCATCGTACTGACCATAATGAGGATGATGATGGTGATGATGTTGTTGGTGATGATGGTTGCGATGATGATGATGGTGATGATGATGATGATGCTTGCCACCGTCATGATGAACCAGTAATTTCCAACATTACCCGCGGTTTAAAATGTTTGGTTGTTTTTTCGATTCTTTTTCATTGCAGGGGAAAGATCTCATTGTCTTGAACATGCCCTACGGTTTTCGGATTTAAAGCCTAAGTATTGGGGCTTTGGGTTAAAGCCTTTAAATATATCGGTTCGCAAGCCCGCCTTGAAGCCCGGGCCACTTTTTGCCGCAGCGTTTCGATTAACAGTAGAGGACTGATCCCCAAAGGGTCATTGCCTCATGTAGGTACTTTGTAGATATTTGCGCCCAGCAGTATGTGCTGTTACTTGGACCCTTTGGGATTCTGAAGCCCGAATATTCCCGCCTATGCATTCGGTGCTGAGCGCGCTGTGCTGTTGAGAGGTTTTGGTTGTGACCTGGGTCTCAGCCGCGCTGATGCTGAAACCCTAAACCCTAAACAGCCGAAACCTCGCAGAAGCCCAGACTCCTGATTCCAAGCCGATACATGCAGGGCTTAGGGTCATGCCGCAGTAATGTGGCCGACCCCCTTTCGAGAGCCCTTTAGCCCCAAAACAACATCCCATGCCCTACTGCCCTTCACCCTAACCCTAAATCGCCGCTGGTGATCTGCTCGCCTTTCGAGCAATGCTTGCCTGTGGATCGGAAACGGGGTCCTTAAAACCCTAAGCCCAAACCCCCCCGCCCCGAGTCTCAATCCTTCTTGGAGGAGTATGATGCCACACCACATCCGGAAGTCGGCTTACCCGCTTGGCGAGAGGAGATTTCTGGATTCTGGGGTATGCGAGAGGAGGCATAGCCTTGTTTTTACATCATCACGTCCTCATATAGTTTACCGTCATAGTCATAGTCACAATGCCACTAACAGACATAGGCCGAAGAGTTGCAAAGATTTCACGGCAACCAAACAGGATGATTGCGGACGTCGTCGCAGTCGCAGTAGCGGCAGTCGTAGTCGTAATCGGAGCCGTAGCAGTAAGTAGTCATAGCTGTAGCAGCAGCAGCAGCAGCAGCAGCAGCGGTAGTGGTAGTGGTAGAGGTAGTGGTAGTGGTAGTGGTAGTGGAAGTGGAAGTGGTAGTGGCAGTGGTAGTGGTAGTCGTAGTACTAGTACTAGTAGTAGTAGTAGTAGTAGT